CTGTGCTCCCTCTTCTGGACAAGTATTGCGAGGAGGGGGAGATAGCTGGGAAAAGGGTGAGTGCATCTCTTGACCCAGTGGACCCCTGCCAGAGTCCACCAGAAAGGCAGGCGTAATTGTGTGCTCCCTTCCAAGGGCCTACAGCTGGTGGGGCTCCCCACGGTCACTTCGTAGACACACAGGGTCTCTCTTCAACTAGACTTCTCCCAGCCTACTATTTCTTGGGCGCTGGGCTCGCCTCACACAGACCTTGGGCTCCAGCATAACGGCTCTTGCCCAGTTACCTCTTGTCAGGTGACTCGGGCAAGTGCAGCCTAGGGACACTCTTGCAGCAAAAGTGACATGTCATCTCCACCCACCACCTTCCTCCAATCTCTAGTCCTCTGGTCAGCTGGAGGCTGCCTCGTGAGGGACCCACGGGAAAGGAGTGCTGGCCTTACTTCTGGCAAACCCCCATTCCTCACCCTCTTCTCTCAGAGCCCCACCCCCCCCTGGGCCTTGAGGAAAGAGACTCCACTATGTTCTCCATCAAAACCACATCGGCAGCCCTTCCCCCTAATGGACTCCTTATGGGGGCTGGAGTGGAAGGGGACGATGTGATGGGTGGAGGCACAGGGCTGGTTATGTCACCTCTTAGTAAGCCCTGAAGAGGTGTTTGACCTCAGGTGTCAGTGGTTTTCTCTAGAACAATAGGGCACACCTCTTTGCCCTCATCCTTAAAGCCTTACTTGCCAGTACTGGGGCCACCAAAAGAGCCCTACCTAATATCCTGTTATGCACAGAGCTAAATAGAGAGCTGCAGGTGTGGCCTGACCCACTTAAGATGACATCGGGTCTATGTGCACCTTAATCAGCACGTTGGACTTGGGTGTTGCCACGCCCCAGACCACATGAGCTCCCGAAAGAAATCTCCCCGATGTGCGTAGGGCACACTTCTAAGCTGAGTCAAGGGGATTCTTCCACCAAGTCTGGACATATCGAAGCACACGGACAGCCTGCTGGTGCCTACCGGGTTTGATATTTTTCATGGGGTGTGTCAGGGATGTGGCACGTGGGCTGGGAAGAGGGTTATCCTGAGAAGGGTCCAGAGGGGACAAAGACAGGAATGAAAGAGCAGCATGGTCACCTCCCAACCTCCCACCATGACAGGCGTCTGAGACAGAAGGTGGCGAGGTCATCTCCACCGAGGAGGCTAGGAGTCCCAGGACCCAAGCCTCATTGCTAAGGCAAGCAGGTG